AAGTCCTCCAAAGGCCTGGCTTGCTTTTCATATTCTAGATGATGTGTCACACAGTTAAACAGACTCATAGCTTTATCTCTCAATGACTGGAAGAAATAAGACCCGCATTAAAACCATTTGGCTTAAGACCAACCTGAAAAGGGAGGCAAGAATGCTGTTCAGTACAGGGAAGCCTCCTGAGGGCTTAGGAGAGTGTATGATTGTGACGGGTTGGATCACAGAAACCCCCTTGGGAGCTGCCACCCGATGTGCCAAGACTACCCCTGCTTTTGTTTTCCCTGCCAGCTCAGGACTCCAGCACCCCGTCTTGCTGAATTAGACACTCCAGTATGATCACACAATGATCACCTCATAAATTGAGGTTGGACCACAACTTCTTTGACAAAGGGAAGAGACAATTAGGTGCATCTCTGCTTCTAGACTCCCAAAGAGCAACAACAGTGGCCACAAATGCCCTTTTCCATCCAAGCCTTTGCACAATGCTTCTAGGCTGGAGCGAGTCACAAAGGCCACTCAGAAATTTCAGCAAGTGCTGCAGAACCAGGCTGTCCACCTCCTGAGTAGGGTGGGAGAACAAGGGTATATTCTACCTGGGTTTCATATTCTGAGATAGCTGCCTGCAAATTGCCTGGTTTCGTTCAAGGTATTGGTTACAGTCAGCAAACCTCTACATGCCTTCTGGTCCGGCTACTCTAGGGGCCACCTCTCTGTCTCTCACCCATCACAGAACCTATTCTTATCTGAACCACTTAGTGAGCTGGAACTACAGAGGCCATTGCCTCTGTAATCCACTACTCCCAGGGGTTTGCCTATGATTGGCCACATTTAGAAAACCCCTAAGACTCATCTCTCTTTCTAGCCTTTTTTCATAAGTACGAGCTCATTTTCCCTGTGCTCTCAGTGTCCTCCTTATTTCTGTCCTCTTAAAAACTTGGTTCCCAGGTGATCACAGGGTGTTAGCATCTTACTGTACAGGGAATTGTTTTCTGCGTTCATCTAGTTGTTGTTGTTGTTACATATGTATTTATTTATTTGTATTACCAGAGTGCCTAAGACCAGGACCCTGTTGTGCTAGGTGCTGTACATACACAGAACAAAAAGACAGTCCCTGCCCTAGGGAGCTTACAGTCTAAGCCATGTATGTTGGGCATAAGGCACTGGACTGGGACTTAGGGGATCTAGGTTCAGTTCCAGGTTCAGCACAGGCATCCTGTGTGACCTTGAGCAAGTGGCTTTCTGTTTTTCTGTGCTGACCTCAGTTCCCCATTTGTAAAATGCAGATAATACTTCCTTTCTTCCACCATTTGTCTGTTTAGATGGGGCAAGGACTGTTTTTCTACTGTGTCTTGCATAATAGGGCTCTGATTTCAGGCGGTGCATCTAGGTGCTACTGTAACACAAATAACAATGAATTAGAATACTGGCAATTATATGTCTATTTTTAATTACATTTGAATGTTTAAAACACACCATAGGTGTATCAAGGACTTCATTATTCTCTAGAGAACCAGCTAATCCTAATGTAATTTAAATAGCGTCTGTTTTTTTTGTTCTTGTTGTTGCTTTTATGTAAGCATGGTTGGAGAAAAGAGAATCCCTCAGCTCCCCCTGGTGTGAAAATTGTACTCCTACTATGTCAAGCAGAAAACAAATGTGATTTGTGTGGCTTTGATCAGTCATTTTTACAATGCTTTTCTACTGCTGTAAAGCAGAATAATACTGTCACAAATTTTAAATTAACAAAATAGGCCTAGAAGGGGTCGGTAGCTCTTGTGTGTTCAATTAATGTCAGGCTTGTAAAGTTCTCAGACAATAAGGGCAACAAATACTCAACTGATAGAGGCGAAGAATGGGGAATCTACAACTTAATGGATCTTTGTGTTTTAATAATAATCTCTGATTGCAGTTCCCAGGACCTGGGCATAAAATAAACCAGCAACCAGGAAACTTGTGTGGGGTTGTTTCAGCATTCACTTTTACAAAGATTTGAAATAGCTATCCCACTGAAGTGTAGGAAGAGCAAGCAACCATATGGTACCTTCACTTCAGGCCTCATTACTGCAGACAACTTTAGCATACACATCTATGCAATCTTTGAGTGCTATTCCCTAAGGATATCATTGTGAGTGCACAAGTGTGCCCAGGGCCAGAAATTCTTTAATAGCAGTGTCCACTGGTCCACACCTGCATCCTGTCCCCCGTTGTAAGCCCAACTTGGGATCCCTTTGTAACCTAGCACAACAAAAACAGATACTGTTCTTGGGCTGCCCATGGCCTCAGCTCCAGAGGGGACGCCTTCCTGGGGAAGTGGTCAGAAGCACTGATGTACACTTTCGCTCCCACCCCTCTGCTTCCTTGCATACTCAAGAAGATCAAACTTGATGGAACAACGGTGATCCTGATAGCGCCTTAGTGGCTGAGGCAAATCTTGTTCACTACCACCCTATAGCTAGCCTCACACCATCCATTTACCTACAACCATTCCTGGGCCTGCTGTCCCAGAACATGGCCAGGATGAACCATTCCAGCCCAGCATCCCTACATCTGGCAGCATGAGTTTTGGATAGACAACCAACATAGAGAGAACCTGCTCTCTACGAGTTCGTCAGTTACAGCTGGAGACCTTTTATGCAGATACGTTACTCCGCTAAATGGAAACAATTCTCCCTTTGGTGCCAGCACACCCCAGCAGGTAACCGGTGATCAGGACTCCCCCTCATACTGGAGTATCTTCTGTCACTCAAGACATCCAGCTTGACCTGAACCTTGTCTTTTCTGCTCACAAGAGACCACCGTTTGAATCTTTAGCCTCCCATCCTCTCCTGCGCCTATATAAGTGACCTTCTTAACAATGATTAACTCTGCTAGAAGGGTTGGAAATCTCAGAGCCCTTAAGGTAGATCTGACTTGTACAGTTTTTCACAAGGAGAAGGTTTTGTTGCGGCTACATCCTATGTTCACCTCTAAAGTGCCTTCTGAGTTCCATCTTAACCAGACTGTTCACCTTCCAATGTTTTGCCCTCAGCCTCACCAAAGCATGGAGGAAACAATACTCCATTCTCTGGATGTGTGCAGGGCTTTATCCTTCTACCTGCACAGAACAGCACCCCTAAATTCTTTGTTGCTATTACTGAAAGAATGAAGGAGAAGGCTGTTTCATCCCAAAGGCTCTCTAGGTAGATTTTCTCCTCCACTATTCTTTCCCATAATGTTATGAAAGCCCCTCAGGGACCATTCTGCAAGAGTCCAAGTGGCATCAATAGGGGACACACACCCCCCTCCCCCGCCGCCCTCTTGGAGATATGCAGAGCAGCTGCTTGGGGTTCCATACAAACTTTTACCAGGCATTATGCACTGGTCCAAGCTTCTGCTGTGGATGCATCATTTGGCTTGGTGATCCTCCACTCTGTGGCACAGCATACCCTCCTCCTCAACGAACACTGCTTGGGAGCCACGCACAGTGAATACCCATAGAGACCCACACTTGAAGAAGAAAGGAGGTTACTTAACTTATAATAACTGGATTTCTTCCAGATGCATAGGCTCTATGGATAAACATGGCCTGCCCTACTTTCCCTCTGTTTGTGTCATCTTCTGATTCATGGTAGAGTTGGAACTGGAGAGGCAGTCAGTCTGGGCCACCCTTATGCCCTCAGCTAGGAGCACAAGGAGGTGCAGGGCGGAGGTGTGGACCAGGCTATTGAAGAAGTTGTGGTCTCAGGCGCAAAGAGCGTGTGTGCACACAGTGAATACCCATAATGACCACACATCTCAAAGAATTCCAGTTACTATAAGTAAGCCATGGCTTTCTGGAACTATAACTGGGATTTGAAAAATAAAAGACCATATTGCCCAATTCCATTACTGTTCTCAACCTGAAAAAAGTCTTTCCTTTCTAAAATGTCCATGCTGTTGTGTGTGCGCAATGGGATGAAGGCAACGTTAGTAGTGAAAGAATGTAGTTTGCCACCTGATGTATACACTAGAACCCCATTTATCTGTACCGCTGTTATCCAGCTCTTTGTATTAACCGAACAACTGCCACGCACAGGTCCAGAAGCAGGTGGTGTCTCCTGTGGCCACTAGATGGGGATGCAGCCTCACACTTCCCCATTCTTTAGATTATCCAAATTTTTGATAATCTGATCGGCCCCGTTCCCAATTAGATAAGATAAAGGGGTTCTGGTGTGTTTGTTTTTCCATATGTATATTGCTATTTCTCCGAGATGTTCTCTGAGGCAATGCATTTTCAGCATATTCTGTCTCTTATCTATTTAGATTATGAACTCTTCAGGGCAGCAACGGTCTCTCTCAAGGTCTGTACAATACATAGCAGAAAAGCGGAGGCCCTGGTCTTGATTTAAGTAGTCGCTATTGGAATATTGTAATAACAACATGGGATAGAAGGAGAAATAGATGCACAACTGCTGCTGTTGTCATGCATGGGAATTCTTCTGTGCCCAACATAAGAGCCCATCCTTACTCAGGCAAAACTCATGTTGGAGTGACCTCAGTAAGGACTGGACCCTAAACATTTGTCACGGCAATATGACAACTTTTTTTTTTCCTCATCACTTTACATTTCAAGGTTCGCTACAAATATTAGCTAGTTAATCTCTCAAACCCCAGTGAAGTCAGTGAGTATTAATATCGCCATTATTCAAATGGAGAAAATGAGATGGACATGTTATTTACTTGTTCAAGGCCACAGAGTCAGCACCAGAGAATGGGTTAGATCTCAGTCGTCACTGGTTCTCAGTTCTGGGCCTTGCTTCTGGACTGTTGGTTTTGCTAAAGGGTTACCATGCTTTTTGAATCAACACCCTCTGGTCAGGTGTAAAGGATTGCACAGATTGCTCACCAGGGATTTTTGGTATAAGAAAGGCCACTCAACTCCACTACCACCACATCCCATGGTGTGCTAGGGAAATGAGCACCAAGGTTGCAACTGTTTTGCTTTCAAGCATTTTTTTTTTAATTCATCTTTGCTTCTCTTTCAGGTGTGAACAGAAAAGTGGTCTATTCCCTAGCAGACTCCGCAGATGGTTACTTCTCTGTGGATAGGTCATCAGGAATCATTATTTTGGAGCATCCTCTTGATAGAGAGCTGCAGCCTTCCTATAACATCAGTGTAAAAGCATCAGACCAGAGCATTGTGTTGTCCCTGTCTTCATTTGCCACAGTTACCATTACAGTGCTGGATATTAATGACAACCCTCCTGTATTTGAGAGACGAGACTACCTTGTTACAGTGCCTGAAGATACCTCACCTGGCACCAAAGTACTGGCTGTTTTCGCAACAAGCAAAGACATTGGTACCAATGCAGAGATTACCTACCTCATCAGGTCTGGAAATGAGAAAGGGAAATTCAGGATCAACTCAAAGACGGGTTTGTAATACAACACTCACGAAAAGAGTCTCTCTAACTACTAGTGCTTTGGGGAAACCTGTAGAACTCAATGAGTTCCAAAGACAGCTCTATAGATGCTTTCATTGTGGAATTAGTTTTAGACAAGTTCCACATGAAAAAGAGTAGTATGATTTAGGGCCAGATTCAGTCACAGGTACTCAAGTGGATAGTACCTTGCTCCATGAATCAGTGGCCTAGGATGTTATAGGCTCTGAGTACGGATAGCAGAAACTAGTCCTTGGGGCCCAACTATGCAGCCCTTACTCACAGTCATGAACACTTACGCACAGTGGAGCACCTCAAGCGCTCGCCAGTGTGAGCAAAGGCTCTGCGATCCTGCCCTTAAGGACTAACCTGCTGTGCAACCCAAATGTGACTCGCTGCTGATGCTCAGCAGATTGGGAGAAGATTGATCAATGGACAGAGTAGTAAGGGCTTGTCTCTGGCCTTACATTTATAACCCTGTAGAACTGCGCTGACTTCAGTGAGGTTGCTCCTGATTTACAGCACTGTGAAAGTAGGCGTAAACCCTTTATGCTTTTATTATATGTAACAAGTTTTTAAAAGAACAGCTTGCTTGGCTTTTTCATAGAAATACCCAGAAACACTGGGTATTCCAAAAGGCTACTGCTGTTTCAGTTTCCTGGTTGGGATCTATTTCCCATTAATTATCCCCATTAAGTAACAGCAGTGAGCTGTCAGGATTCCCTCATCCCACAATATTCAGGAAGAGCCATATGGACTTGCCACCTGAGGTTCTTACCTGATTGATCTGTAGTGTGAAAGCTGAAAGTAACAGTTGTTTAGGGGCAGCTATAAATGTAGCCCATAGCCTAGAAATACCCAGAACAACACGTTATCTCACTTACACTATTCTGTGTAAAAAATTCCCCTTCTCTCTATGGAAACTCTTCACTTACAGTTAAAAGGCTTTTTAAAATAACTAATGCAAGTGTGTTTTAACGTCGGTTTATTTCAGCAAGGAGTAGCTGAATTTATACATAAGCACCATGGAAAGAAATACTTAAATATTGTTAAATTTTCATTTGACAATGAAGCCAAGGAGATAAATCAATAAAAGACAGAGGTGAAGTTTAATTGCACAAGAAGAAAATAGCATTTATTATTCATTAATGTGTGACAGCTTCATTATTACCAGTTTAGATGCAGGAGCTGAGATTCCAGACAGTCATGTACTGATGTAACATGCCTGATCAGGGCTTGAAAAATAATCCCCCTCAGTCATGCCATTTATCAATGGGAAGTTCCTGCTAGCAAGTGCAGACTTCTCCACAGGTCCTCTTCAGCGCTCCTGCTCTCACCAAGTCATGCCGAAGGGGGAGTAATGCTTATCTGGCTGGGGTTGCTACTCAGCCCTTCACCTTAGTGGCCAATGTACCTCCCTCAATGCATTTTACTCAGTGCAAAAAAACCTCTGGCTAATGACTTGTATTTAAAGTGATTATCTCCTAAGGGTAGCATTGGTACATAAAGTGAATAAGATGAAAATGTATTCAAATCATTGGATAAAGAGAAATTCTGCTCCTGCAGTGTTGTGAGACCGAGGTCAACATTGTTAAACCTGGTTGCCTGAAGTTAGGCTCCTAAGTCCATATTTAGGCACCTAAACAAAAATAACCTAATTTTCAAAGCTGTTGATCACCCAACAGCTCCCACTTCAGGTGGAGTTGTGGGTACTTAATGCTATGGAAAAATCAGACCTCTTGTATTTAGGCTCCTAAAGATAGATTTAGGTGTCTTTAGCCATGTAGATTTGAAAATTTTGGCCAGAATGTTTATTGGGTTCAGAACATTGAGCTGTGAATCAAGATTTCTGGATTCTATTTCCAGTTCTGCCACTGACTCCCTGTGAGCCCGGGCAAGTCATTAAACTGTGCTTTCTCCATTTACCCATCTATGGCACTGGTGTAATAAAAGCTACCTTTAGTGGTGCCATTAATCACTCTGAATCACTGGAAGGTCCTGTCCTGAGAAGTGTTATAGAAGCTCAAGTTATTGTATCTTTCTTTAATTTATACAAGAAGAAATGCGGATGTCTAATTGTATGTTTTTTTTGGATTTGCTGGCATTATCGTTTCAGTAGCATCATGTGGTATTTTGCTATGGTGTTAAATAATGTATTCTATTCTATATCGGTAATTTTTTGGCTATAACTATGCTGATAATATTACTGTTCACAGAGTTTGCTTCTTTAGATCTGTTAACATTCCTTCTCATCTTTCAAAGGATCCATTTCTGTAATTGAAGCTCTGAACTATGAAATGTGTAAGGATTTTTACCTAAGAGTGGAAGCAAAAGATGGAGGTACGCCCGCCCTAAGTGCTGTTACTACAGTGAACATAAATGTAACGGATGTTAATGACAATGCACCAAAATTTAATCAAGAGGCCTACAATGCGGTCATCAGTGAGGATGCTTCGGTTGGTGATTCCGTGATTATGGTGAGTATAATATATATGATTTCAGACAGAAACTCAATAAAAGGTGTTGCGATAAATAACTGTGTTTGCATAAGCATATAATAAACGATTATTCTGTGGCCGCGCAGATGATAAACTGTAATAGCCACTGCACCTTTGACCACCTCACCTGCCGTCTGTCTGGTATTCTGTCTCTTCTAGAACTACTTTTAATGTTCCAAACTGCCAATCAACTTTCAAAGCAGCTGCCATTTACACCCCCCCTCAAAAAAAAGAACCCGCAAGATAAAATGTTTTCTTTTTTCCTCTCAATTTTGCACTCCGCCTAGGCATAATTTTGCCCTGGACCCATGACAGGTGACGTCTGATGTCTTGTGGCTCATCAGAACTAGAAACACATAATGTTTCTCTTTGGAGAGGCAGAATTTATGGCTTTCCAGTGAAATAAAAAGTGTTTGAATCTAGCCCTGCTGGCATGCAACATAGCATACCTCAAAATCACAACTACTACTGTATCTGAGACATCTGGCTTTAGTAGGGAAGGGCTGTGTAAATGAGTAGCATTAAAAGATTTTAAGGCTGAGATTTTTCAAAGGCTCCTAAGGGAGTTAGACATCCAGCTGCCATTAAATGTCACCTAAAGCCTTTGAAAATCCCACTCTAGAGCGTCAACAAATTTTCTAAAATAACTTCTCTCTAAAATGTGGATAGCCATCTGTCTTGGATGGTTTAGACGTAACAAATCCTGCATGTAGTTTTCAGTGGTTCACAGTCATGCTGGAAGGGCATAATGAGTGGGGTCCCGCAGGGATCGGTTCTGGGTCCGGTTCTGTTCAATATCTTCAGCAATGATTTGGATAATGGCATAGAGAGTACACTTATAAAGTTTGCAGTTTATAAGTTTACACTTATAAAGTTCACAACTTACTGATTACACTTATAAAGACACCAAGCTGGGAAGGGTTGCAAGTGCTTTGGAGGATAGGATTAAAATTCAAAATGATCTGGACAAACTGGAGAAATGGTCTGAAGTAAATAGGATGAAATTCAATAAGGACAAATGCAAAGTACTCCACTTAGGAAGGAACAATCAGTTGCACACATACAAAATGGGAAATGACTGCCTAGGAAGGAGTACCGCGGAAAGGGATCTGGGGGTCCTGGTGGATCACAAGCACTGGAATAAATTGCCTAGGGAGGTTGTGGAATCTCCATCATTGGGAATTTTTAAGAGCAGGTTGGACAAACACCTGTCAGGGATGGTCTAGATAATACTTAGTCCTGCCTTGAGTGCAGGGGACTGGACTAGATGACCTCTCGAGGTCCCTTCCAGTTCTATGATTCTATGATTTTCTATTCTTCTATGTTAGCAGGGAGTTAGACAAAATGATCCTTGCAGTCCCTTCTAACCCTGTGATTCTATGTGGCCTAAACAAAATGTATGATCATATGCAGCGATATGAAGGGCTCATTGGTACTTGTTTCATATGTCTTGTATAACACACACACACAGGCTTGCCCCTTGCAAATAATCTTCCCATTCCAAATTCATGATGAGAGAACTTTTAGACAAACATGCTCTGTCCAGTAAGGTATATCTACTAACCTGACGGAATGTAAAGTTATTCCTTTGGGGTTTTGATTTCTTATTGTACCATAGAAATATTTCTTAATCTGTATAGTTAATTTTATTCTTCTCTCAAAAAGTTGATAGCAGAAGACCAGGATAGTCCTACCAATGGCCAGATTCATTTTTCCATAGTGAATGGTGATCGGGACAATGAATTTTCAGTTGATCCTGTTTTGGGACTTATAAAGGTTAAAAAGAGATTGGACAGAGAAAGGGTAAGATAACATGTGTTGGGCTTTCTTCTAAACTTACTAGAAATTGCATATGTATATTGACTTCAGCTGTGCTGCTGGCTTTCTGCATGACTGCAGGCTTGTCATTCATGTAGTCTGCAATTGGTACTAAAAAATATTCCATCATCTATTTCTAATATTGCCCAATTCACTCCTTTCACCCCAGTCCTTTCTACAAGTAAACTGATCTTGAAATGCTCCCCTCTCTACTGGCATAAAATCAGATTAAAGAAAACAAACCTGTGACAATGCAGAAAGCTGTAGTGTTAATGAGCTGCCACCCTGTTTCTATCATACACATACACAACGGTGATTGTAACACATTCTGGACAATAACACCAGGCACAGAGCCAAGACCTCAACTTTGAATTGGCAATGTGTGTAACATATCATTAGCGAGGTTATGTTGTGAAGTGGCCAAGCTATAGAGGTAGTGATAGGGTGCTATGTTTGAGAGATCCCATTGCTTTGTTTACCCCAGTACAACGTTCACCCAAGACAACTTATCACCATTTCACCCACCTCTCAAATAACAGCATTTGGCAAACAAAGATGGTTTGCCTAGTGTTAGTGTGAGCATAGGAGAAAGTTACATGACTTCAGCAATCTTGCAACACATAGGGAAATCCCTGTCTGTTTGCCCAAACAATGCAGGTAGCACTAGCAGTGCTAAGGACACAGAAGTCATGAGGTCAGTGCATGTGTTTGTTCTTTGTTGCGCTGTGGTCTACAGGCTAGATAGGTGCTATATATTTTTAACAGTACAGCCTTAATTTCATAATTTGCTTTAATTTAATGTTTGTGTTTAGTATAGCTGCAAAGGACACACACACTTGTGCTTTATGTAAACATGTATGTAGGGCTAAATTCACCACTGGTATAAACAGGGGCAATTACATGATGTGAGCAGAGTTGCACCTGCTTACATCAGTAGTGAATTTGGCCCATTGTCTCTGATGTTCTTCAGAGACAATACAGCAAGCCCAACTCTGAAATACATAGAATATAGCATATACTCTAGGACATCAATGTAGGGCTTCCTCATTCTTGTACAAAAAAAATGTATAGGCTAAACTTTCAGAAGGAGAAACAATACTCATTTCAAAGGGGTAAACATACAGACAGGTTAAGTTCTTAAATCCAAGGTGAGTGATAGAGGGCACAGAAGGACAAAACCAGAAAAAAATATTATTGGAAGAAGTCCCAAGACAACAACCAACTCTGAATCAGCCAAAGCCTGTCATAGGAGAGAGGGAAATAAGAAAAGCCATTCCCCAGGTGCTGTTGTGATGTTTTAAACATAATGCTGCAGGCACTCTGTGGTTTGTGCTATAGTCTGAGGTAAAGACATGTCCCAAAAGCATAAAGACAACTGCTCCCCTAATGACATGTTTTGTGTGGCTGTTTCTAATAAGTACCCAGAAAAATCTGTCTCTTTAGTGGCAGGTAGTTGATATCCAGCTGCAAGCTACCTATCCAAGCCAGGGGTTACAGAGGCACTGGTGTTACTAGCCATTGAAAGTGTTTTTCAAATCATTTGTGAACTTTACCTTGGTACTTTGCAAATGCCATATTAGAAATGTTTCATGTTAGATAGATAATGAGACATGTTCTCAGAAATCATGTACAAAAGTGTCTTGGAACCCATTCCTAAAATCCTGGTTTGATTGGAATCTGACCAAAACGTTGCAATTGGCACCTGGGAAACTCAAAGTATTCTCTGTGCATGCTTGTAAGTTAAAGTTGTAATGGCTGATTTTGCATATTATATGCAAGGCACCAAGCAGTTTGTTTTCGAAGTGTACCATTATGTACAGTATGCATCGTCTGGTACAGTTATTTTAATATGGTGAAGCCATTCAGATTATTGATAGCCTTATAAAACAGAGTTTGGGACACAGTGAAGCACTAAACAGGGAAATGTTATACAAAGGGCAAGACAAGTAATGAGGCCAGACCGCTTTCCACAGAATGTGGTACGTGGCACACAGGATGGAAGGAATGATTGCTGAAATTTAGGGCCCCTTTTGCATTGATTTAATGTTTTCACCTTTTCGCAGGTGTCTGGATATTCACTAGTTATTCAGGCAAGAGACAGCGGCATCCCTCCTTTGTCATCATCTGTAACGGTCAACATAGACATTTCTGATGTGAACGATAATAGCCCTGTATTTACACCAGCCAACTATACAGCTGTAATTCAAGTAAGTTTATCCTGCACATCAAAAACTGATCTGACCTTTAAACATGAAAGCATTTGGTACCATTAAGTTACTTTTGATCAGCCCAAGGTACATCAAATTGTCTCCTTTCAAGCAAAGGATAAGCATGTTTTTCTTAACTCTTTGACAGGACTCTGTTTACTGAGATTCCTCAGAATCTGCCACAGGTTTTACCATTTATCCCAGCTGCTCCAGAAACTTTCCCCTTGTCTAAGAAATGTTTTTTATTCTTCTGCAATTGAAGCCGTTCCAGCTCCCATCTCGGACTCTCTTGTCTTTCATGCCTGTCCCACAGCTAGACAAAGAATAAGCTCAAATTGTAAACAAAGGGTTCAAGCCCTCCTTGATCGGAAGGGCATGAGGCTTTGGAGAGGAGGAGAGAAGAAAATGAAAGAAATTCTGGAATTTCCATTTCCCATACTTCTCTGAACAGAGTTTCTGCACTCTTGACTAGTGTATTCCATGTCTGGTACTGTGAAGATGGATCTATCTGTCTATCTTAGCGTTTTATACTGCCCGCAATCACTGTGGTATCTCAGTGCCTTCCCCATAAAATCAAGAGCAATTGCAAAGTCCGTAGTGGACTTCATGGAGTCTCTAGCACTTCTCCCTTTACAGGGTCAGAGCTCTCTTTGGGGTAGGTTTTTGGGGGAGGAGTTGGGAGAGGATCTAAATCTCTGGCAACCCCATGTTATCTGTTTCAGTGTGTCCTGTGGGAAAACCATGAACATTGCATCACAGTGCTGCATGATCACACTGGGATGCAGTCATGAAAAATTTTATGAAGCAGCATTGTGATATGATTACCTTCATAGTACTGGGGACAGTTAAATGTTCTGACTGGCAAGCACAGCATCACCCTGGTAAATGCATGTTGGTCCTGCCAAATATACCAATGGCTACCCAACCCTAAGCTGGGTGATGAGCAGACAAGATTTTATAGTTCTCTTCACTTTAGTCAGTGTACGAATGGTCATGTATAATAGATACAGTGGTAGTTTAAAAAAAAAAAAGCCCCAAACCTGGATACCTCACTAGAGATGCTGTGTCAAATTCTGCTATCAGTCATCTCTGTGCTTCCCGCCAAGTGAATCGTGTTGCATGGGTGTAACTGGAGCACAGTGGGGAGGAATGTAAAAACTATGGGGAACTGCTGTGGAAAAAAACGTGTTCTTGTGTATTCTGAATGTTATTTTAACAATATGGTGAGATACAATATTGTAATTTCTCTTTATACGCTGTGTATATGCATAAAGGAGAATAAACCCGTGGGCACAAGCATTTTGCAGCTGGTAGTGACAGACAACGATTCTTTTCACAATGGCCCCCCATTTACCTTCACCATTCTGACTGGCAATGAAGAGGAGGAATTTATGTTGGACCCACATGGAGTTTTGAGATCTGCAGTTATCTTCAAGCACATGGTAACAACTGAATACATGCTCTGTGTGCAGGTATGGCCTTATTATTGCACATCAGCACAAACCAAGAAAACTCTCTTAGTTGTCATGTCATTTTTGCCACTATTTTTATGTTGCCTGTTTGTTTTGTTTTTAATTGATTTTATTCAGTTAGTCAACATAATGCATTGCAATATACAGTGCACAAAACAGTGCATTTCCTTCACTGCTCACAAACCCAATTTCATATAAATATAAATAGGTAACCAGCCACCTTACCAATTTTATTTGTATGGAATGGGATTTGTGAGTAGGAAGCGTATGATTTAAGATTTTCATTAATTTTTTTATAAAGCTCAGGAAGGAAAGTAGGGGAATAGAATAACCAGGAAAAATACCTTCTGCACATATAAACCCACAACAAAAAGAGCAACAACAAAATATTGTTATAGGGAAGGAAATCACATCAGTTCCTAAGTCCGTAAATGTAGTGATACATTTTCCGAAACAAACGAATTCATGAAAATTTTCCAGGTTTGTTTAGTTTATAAGGGAGGTGAAAAAAGAGCTAATAATAGGAGTCGCTACTGAGGAGCTTCGTAACCAGAGTAATTTTTGTGACGTCTAACTCATAAGTACGTTGTCTGTTTCTCTTCATGATTTACAGGGGAAAACTGTTGGGTATCATTCTGCAGCAAGCCTAAAACTCATAAGCACTGAAACCAATTTTATTCTCAAGCCTTACAGGGGGGGGGAAAAAACCTTTCCTTAGCCTTTATTATAAAACTACCAATTTTCAGGCCAAACTAATTTTCCTAAGCAAAGTTCTGGTGTGGCTATAAATAGTGTATGTAATGGAAATGTGGTTGCAATTTTAGCGATGTACCTATGGCTGTGATATAACTGGAGTAAAAGATAGACATCATAATCTAAAATGTATCAGAACGTACAGAAAAATATTGTAGTTGACTTTTGGAGGCTTAATAGACCCTTCACATTCCTTTCTTATTTAAGGGCTTCTACAATTAAAACATTTTTAATGTTGTTTGGAGTGTTTGGACCCCACCAGCATATCTGACAGTTCAGGGCAGCTTAAAGAAGAGCCTCTCTTTCCACTCTACCACCAGTCCTCCTTTGTTTTTTTTATTAAAATTAAATTCGGAGGAGGGTCAACAAAATTACCTTTTGAGCTTTCCAGCCCTATTCACGATGAGAAGGAGTGATTTTCAGAGGTGCTTAGCACCCACTGCTCCTACTGAAGGTATAGCATTATTAGCATTCTATATTTTTTTCTTTTTCCTTGTTGATTTTTATAACCACATTCAATTCTCCAATAAAGATCTTGGGATCAAGTGGCAGGTCTGTGTTCTTTTGTTCTGTTCTCCTTCAGAATGAGTAGTAAATCTTAATAGTGAGCTGAATAGAGCATTTTTATTACTGCACAAAAAGAACATTGATCCAAGTTTGCACAGCCTTCTGTCAGGAGGGCCTTGAGTTTTTTGTCAGACCTGCTCTATTGCTGTCTATAAAAAGTGCAAATGATGCTATCATATGTGCTCTGGGTCACAGAGTCAGCTGTCCAAGCTCAGTTCTACTCTCATATTTTATTGTTAATAATAGAGCATGCATCTTATTTCATCTTTGGAGGGTGATAAATTTTCTTTATTTCAAGCATGTTTCTTGAGTGATTTAGGTAAAGCAATACAGAAAGCAGTATTAAAAAAACCAACCCTAACTTTCTAAGATCCTCATAAGCTAAGCAGGGTCAAGGTGCATCAGAAACTTCTGAAGCATGCCCAGCTGCTGCAGAAAGCAGTCTTGATGATTAAGTAGGTGGCACTCTCTTCTTTGAGTCAGTACTGAACCAAAGCTCCATCAGATGCACAGGAGGGGCCATCATTCAAATTGGAGTGGGACTAAAATAAAAAACCTGACCTTTTGTGGTAATTGAAGATCCCATGTAATACAATGGAGTACAAGTTCTATCTGTGGTATTCTGGTCGCATTTCAGTCTGGCTATATGTTTCCCCCTGCAGTTCACTTAGGCCTGGTCTACACTGGGGGAGGGGGAGATTGACCTAAGATACGCAACTTCAGCTACGAGAATAGCGTAGCATTCAGCTATGAGAATAACGTAGCTGAAGTCGACGTATCTTAGGTCGACTTACCTCACATCCTCAGGGCGCGGGGTCGACTGCCGCCACTCCCCTGTCGACTCTGCTTCCGCCTCTCGCCATGGTGGAGTAGAGGAGTTGATGGCAGAGCGATCAGGGATTGATTTATCGCATCTACACTAGACGCAATAAATCAATTCCCCGATAGGTCAATCACTATCCAGCGGGTAGTGTAGACGGTATCCTGTGATATAGTTTTCTTAATTTCCCCAAGGTGTTTTTATATTCCACATCAGAGGTGGCAGCATTGCAATGTGGGGGCAAGGTGTTTCTGTATGTATATAGTTAGAAAAGTGCTTTGAAAGAGTGTCAGGATGACAAACTATATAAATATACACCTCTACCCCGATATAACGCGACCCGATATAACACGAATTCGGATATAACGCGGTAAAACAGTGCTCCGGGGGGGGCGCGGCTGCGCTGCGCACTCCGGTGGATCAAAGCAAGTTCAATATAACGTGGTTTCACCTATAACACGGTAAGATTTTTTGGCTCCCGAGGATAGCGTTATATCGAGGTAGAAGTGTAGTAGTAGGGAGGAGGAAGAGTGAGGAGTTGTTATTATTGACTGTGATTTATTCGTGTGCTTGTTCTTTCCAAATGAAATTAGGCTAAAGATTCTGGGAAGCCTCAACAGGTGTCCCACACTTACATTCAAGTGCGAGTTATTGAAGAAAGCATTCACAAACCAACAGCCATTCCACTGGAGATTTTTATAGTCACCATGGAAGATGACTTTCCAGGGGGTGTCATTGGAAAGATTCATGCCACAGATCAAGATGTGTATGATGTTCTCACTTATACCCTGAAGTCAGAGCAGAAAAGTCTGTTCAAGGTTAACAGCCACGATGGCAAGATCATTGCCCTGGGAGGGCTAGATAATGGCAAGTACACACTGAACGTGTCAGTCAGCGATGGCCGGTTCCAAGTGCCCATCGATGTTGTCGTCCACGTGGAACAGCTGATACAAGAAATGCTGCAGAACACGGTCACCATCCGATTTGAGAACGTTTCCCCTGAAGATTTTGTGGGGCTCCACATGCATGGGTTCAGGCGCACCTTGCGAAATGCTGTGCTCTCACAGAAACAAGATAGCCTGCACATTATCAGCATTCAGCCTGTGGCAGGCACCAATCAGCTTGACATGCTGTTTGCAGTTCAGATGCACACCAGTGGATTCTATAAGCCTGCTTATTTGATTCAGAAGCTTACCAATGCAAGGAGACACTTAGAAAATGTGATTCGCATCTCGGCTATCTTGGAGAAGAATTGTTCTGGACTGGATTGTCAGGAGCAGCACTGTGAACAAAGCCTGTCTATTGATTCCCATTCCCTGATGACCTATAGCACAGCGCGAATTAGTTTTGTGTGTCCCCGTTTCTACAGAAATGTACGCTGCACATGTAATGGTGAGTGCTACTCCCTCTTCACCTTCAATCTTTCCACATTATGGGTTAGGATGGTTTTTATTTCTCTGATGCAGATTGGAAGGGGCAGTTCAATTCATTTAGTTAAAGAGCATGTGGCAAATGTATGGTGGGAATTGATTTCTGAGGCTGGTTAAGAATTGTTCATGTTTATTGATGTAAATGGAAGATGGTGAACTTTCACCTTCTGTGACCAAAGGCCACTTTGCTGGAGGCATGGTAATCAGAGCCATCAACAAACCTTCTGCTGTGGTTTTCCACCCAATCCGTAACAGTACTGAAATGTACATAAAGTGTGGTCATGTCAGAAACTGCCCATTCAGTATTTAGAGCCTGCACCCAGTATTTTGAAAGTGAGGATGACCTTCAACCTAAGTGATAAAGATGGAAAGGCCTTTTTCATTCATATTTTGTGCGGGGGGGGGGGAGGGGGGAATGGAAACCAATAAAGTATTTCATTAAGTAATTGGGAGCAAGTAGTGCTTCTGACCTTTTGAGCTACACTCGGGCTTCCGGGTATGTGCATTTTTGTGTGTGGTTGGTTTTTGTTTTAACCACTGTGGCACTGGTTCATGAAATTGTTCCACAGTTTTGAAGGGATTTCATACGGGAATGGATAACATATTCACTAGGTTGCCCGTCTTCCTTCTGCTTCTGTGTACTAGGTAAAAAACCTCAAGCAGTTATAATAATAGATCTGTTTGTGCAGTTTTCTGTTCTTCTTTCCACTTTGCTCAAGAGTGAAATAAGAAGCTGCTGTAAAATCAATACATTTAAACCTCCCTTCTCGTAAACACACACAGAGAGATGGTGTCAATGGACAAAAGTCCTGTGAAGTCATTAAGGCTGCGACATTTGCGTATATTGCATTTGGCCCATAAAGACTGTGCACCACATTTTGCTCTCAGATCTGTGTGGCAGATCTTCAGTCTGACAACCTAGCCTCCCTAAGGGTTTGCTCTTGCTCCCGTCGAAGTCAATGAGTGTCTTACCAGGGATTTCAGAGGGGATTGGGTCAGGCCTCAATGCATGGAACTTCAGCTGGAGTCACTTGAGTCCTGCAGAGGGGAGATAATCGGGCCCTGATAGTTGAGCGCATGTGAGAAGATCAGAATATTGGAGTTGAGATCTTTTATGCACATTTAAGGGCTAATTGTTAAATGATAGTGTTAAGTGTTTCAAACAGGTTTAGATGTATGTTATAGTAGTCCCTGCTATTATCGGCGATACAAATCTATGCAATAGAGACTTTCATAGAATGGACTGCACAGTGCTATCATATCATCTAGCCAAGCCCCCAGGCCAGTGCAGGACTATTACCTACAGTATATCCTGTACTGTTGTGAAACTGTATCTTTGTCCAGTCTAGTTTTAAATGTACCAATCAATGGGGAATCCATACCTATCTTGGGAGACTGATAGATCTCACTGACAGGAATGTTCTCCTGATATTCAGTTTACATTTTCCCATTCTTATTTTCATTCCATTGTTGCTAATTATACCCCTTGTTTACCATCCAGAGCCGTTAACCTTGGTCAGTGGCATTTGCTCCCTTCAGATACTTGTAGAAAATTAACCTGCCTCAATCTCTTTAGTTTTTGTTAAAGCAAACCATAGATAGTTCTTTTAATCCGTCTTTCCTCAGAAATGTGTGTGTGTATTCTGTATGATAAAACATAATGCTTGTGTATCTGCATATTTATATGCATATAAATATAGCAAGTGGAAAAATAGTATACAAAATACTAGGATGGATTTCCTCATGGTTCTTTTAACGTGATAGCTTTGGCAAGACACATTCAGCAGAATCGGTGTTCTACAATATTTGTTTCTAGAGTAGTTTAATGATGTAGCCAAATAAATATTGATAGATTGAAGCATGACAAACCCATTAAAATATTGCATATGTTTTCACTGATCAGATTCAGTTATAACCCAGGAAGCCTGAGTTTGAGCTAATTCACACATTCTTGAAATATGTATCAGACTTGGAACGTAGTTCCAACTGCCAGATGTCAAAGATATGCACAAATTATGCATGCCAGCTGTGCATAACCTAGATTACCTTTATAAGCAAACTGAGCTATCTAGCACCAGAATGCCAAGAGACTGTTAAAGCAGGTAACTTGTGAACCTCTAAAGATTCAGCAGCTCACTTCAGGTAGGATAAAGTCCAAAAGTTCAGACGCCTCAGTCTGAACCTTTAGAGTCAATAACTAAAAAATCTTGCAATAACAGGCTAACTCCTGAGATTTCTGGCATTTGTGCTTCCAGTCGTGTGAAAAGTACTGGAATAAACAGCCATTCTCTTGATATTTTGGTGTTTCGGAGGCAAAAATGATAGTTTGGTGTTATATTATCCTTTAAAAAAAACTTAAAGATTTGGTTTGGGTTTAGTTTTAGGACAAAGATTCGCGGGGGTAGGGGGGGAGGTAGATTAGTTTTATTGGAACCAATTTGTCCATAAAGTCTTGTTCACAGTCCCATTTCTAGCCCCTGTTAAGGAACTTTTATGAGGAGCATAATTTGCACTACACTAGGCAGTTTTTGAAACCATGGGTTTCTGTTAGTCTTAAAGGTGCCACAGGAGACTCTGTTGCTTTTTGTTAGGGAAGAGGATCAAATATGGTTCTGACTTAATCATTCAGGAGCCTTGTGAACACTGTCCCCAAAAGTGTCGTGTGGAAGTGAAAGCTCACACCTCTATATTAGAGGGCATATGGCTTCTTCTACAGTGTGACAGGAATAGATTCTTCTGTCTTGTACCAAAATCTAAATTCATGGGAGGAAAGAAGGAATCTAGGCTTTAGGTCTTGTGGAGCTATACCCGGTACATTCTGAAGGAAGGCAGAAATAACTAAATATAATGCGCTGTGATCCTCTGCCACTAATAAATAAATAAAAGGGCCCAATTTTTAGAGGTGCTGTGACCCCTCAGGTCCCATTGTAAGAGTTGAGAGCACACAGCACCCGCGAAGAGGTCCTCAATACCTCTCATGAATGGATCCAGTGCGTCCAGTCCTACACCACTGAACTCAAGTGCCAATACCAATGTGCCAGACTCCCACTCTCTGCTCATTCAAATTCCTCCAAAAGACCCACTGACTCCCATAAAGCCCACACACAGATCCTGCCCCTTGTAAGCCATCATGGTAGTACAGCTAAGAAGACTGAGTGAGAGAGGAGGATCGTATCTTCCCATCCAGTCTGCACTTAGGCATTAAATAAAAATGGTCTGATTTTTCCAAGGTGCCGAACACATTGTGTGGTATAGGGGGGTCGTTTTAATTGTTGGGCGCCATGTAATTTTATTTTAAACATTACTAGAAATACTTAGTTTAGAGCAATGGTTGGCCAGCTCTTCCTAATTGTTTCTTTTATTGCCATATTATGGGTGTGACTCCCACTACTCAGTCATAGAGGTTCTTCTGTGTATCTTAGGAGACCATGATTAAGACCAAGCAAAATAATCACAGTTATTAATTGTGGTCATTTTACTAGTGAAGAAAGAGAGAGAAAGCATTAAATAAAATAACACAAATGAGAGAACACAAATAATAATACTGATATTTCTATTACGATCTCTCCTATATTATATCTTTCTATGGAGGTCTTTTAGCAGAGATTACACCTTTTAGAGTGGATTCCCCTGGCGGTGGTGGGGTGCTTTTTGTTTTTTGGTAAGTTAAGACCAAAATATATTATTATCCCGAATTGAGCTTTAGTATCTTATTAGATACTTAAAAATGTGGATAAACAGGCAAAAGAAATGTGTTTAAAGGCAAGTGAAGCCTGTCTAGTTGTTAATAATAACTAAGCAGTTTGTAGTTGGGCAAAGTAACAATCTTAACTAAATCTTCTGAAATCAAAGCAAATATTTAAATTAGTTAATTAAAAGAAGCTATCTTAAAACAGGCCAATTACAAATATTAAGAATCCTAAGTGTAATTAAATCCCACTATTTCTCTGTTTACCTGTGTTTATCCCATCTCCTCTCCAGCAATACATGGCCTAACCAGCTGTTGATTATCAGGAGAAAGTGTTAATATTTTAAATTACAATAGCATTCCAGTATCCCAATAAAATCATTATATGAATTTAAATCTAATCGCTTGTCAGTGTTTTAGTTAACTTCTCTCACCTGTCCATGTTGAAGTTTGGGGAGGTCTTCCTTGGGTTGGTTTCTTCTTGAGTCTTCTCTGTTTTTCTTAATTGTCTGTGGCAGCTTGCTTGTAGAGATGCACAGGATCAGTTGTGGAGTGTTTGCTGTCTAAGCAGAATAGCAGGGAGTGTGTGTCTGAGAGGTGCTCACTTTGGACTCTTTTACATGCATCTTCTTCCGATTTTTAGGAAATTTACAGGAAAACACACAGGCTTGTTTCTTTTCAAAGTTGGTTGCTGTCACCTTTTCATTGGCTTGATGCCTTCAGGGTTGGCTTAGATAACACTTTCAGCTCCTGAATATACAATCTGTTTAATGAATATGCAACATTTCTTTCATTGCCTTTGTTCTTCTTGTGGATGAAAGCATCAGATAACTTTCAAAGCTAGTTTTAAATGTTTCTTTTTATTTGATCCATCCTCTGAGATATTCTTTCAACTTTATTAGCGTTTGACAGAAAATGAAATTCTGTTTTGAAAAAGTCCAAACACTCCTGTTCTTTATATAAAAGATTTCAGTTCTCCAAACAGTTTTTTAAAATTAAATAACTCTTAGAAAGTTTTTTTACAGCTTAGATAATATAAAAAAGTGTTGGTTCTTGTCATAGTTTTAGAAGAGATGATTCTTGTCTTCTGGAGTTGGATGAGAGTTTGCTTGCACACTGCCAGTAATTAATTGGCATCTTATTAATATAAATATTCTATACTTAAATGGCTTCTTATATTAGTTTACATTTATAGCATCAAATTACCTTGCTATATTTGTATATTAAACATCTTACTATTCCTACATTTAAATATCTTTGCAAACATACATCTC